AACTGGATCACACCCCTCAAAATGGGAGATTCTTACTACGGTAAATTTTCTCCATTTAATTTAAAAGATCGAGAGAGATATTTTATAATTTATTATAAACATTGCAATGCAACGGAAGATAATAGTTTACTTAAGTAAATCGAGACTTCCTACCTCTCCATAAAATTCCAACATCGAAAATTCAATTTTGTTCTTAAATCCTTTACAATGATCTTGTTTAATTATGTTAATACCCTCCATTACACTCTTAATGTCCGTCAAAAATTTAAAAAAAACAAAAAATAAAAATAAAAATAAACAAGCAAACAAACAAAATCCCATATATCAATCATGGCAAACACATACCATATTCAAAAACTTGATTAGAAATTTAAAATGCCCAAAATAAAAAAAAATGGAAATAATAACTAAGATCCTTTAACTCCTAGGAAATATCAAATTACCCCCATTATTAGAACCATTCATTTCGAATATATATTAATTAAATATAAATATTTCAGTTTCAACCTCCAAAATCTACAGTCCAATAAGAGGTCGAAGTTCAGAAAGAATTATTTTCAATAGTGGAGAGATCTTACTGTAATTATACACTGTTCAAATATGCATCCTCTCAATAAACTCTAATTAACTCTCATCGCTAACAAGGAAAATTTTAATATTTGATGCTATTATTTTTTAAAACAAAGGCGCATTACACCACGAATTTTTTGTAATTTAGGGCTTGTAATTACTTTGATCCTTAACATTTTTAATTGATAATTTACCAAATTGAACTTGTTCAAACAACAGATAATTGAAGACATTGGGCTCCATTTCAAAAGCGCAAAGTTGTCAATTTGACAAATACAAACTAATTGACAAAAATACAATGTCAAAGAAAGTTTATTTTTATTAAAAATTATTCTACTCACACAACATAAAGTTATACACAAAATGAATAGAATTCTTTAATTTTTTTTACCAAATATTTTAGTAAAAATTGAATGATGATATGTACATAGGTAATTATTATTTTTTTTACCAATTTAATTTTTAGTTTCTTAGAAAAAAAAATTTGAAAATAGATTTTGAATGTCAAACCAAACTGGACTTTATAACCAAAAAAGTTTCAACATTATTCATTAAAAAAATGCCATTATATTTTTAACAACACTACAGGAAAAATGAGTTTTAGCGGTGTTTTTAAAATGCCGCTAAAAGCCTGAAAAACGCCGCAAAACGTTATAGCAACATTTAAATTTTTCGTCGTTGATATAGCCGCCGCAATAGCTTTGCAACGTTTACAAAATGTCGCTAAAATATTAGACGATGTTTTTGAAAATGCCGCAAGAGCTTTGACATCCATCTCAAATTCCGTCCCAAACTAACGGATGACGTCACAATGATGTCATTTATATATATATATATATATATATACAAACTAACGGATGACGTCAATGACGTCATTTAGTGGCGTTTATATATATATATATTATATTTATTATATGAAATGAAATATCAATTCCCCTCCCCCCTTTGTGCTGCTACTGCTACAAGAATATGAAAAAAAAATACCAAAGTTGGCATTCTCTGTATAGTTGCTGTAAAATACAATCCAGGTTTTCAAAAACAGAATTCCAAAACATTAAAAACAAAATTCACTAGAACAATTACAACAAAAAATACTCAAAACAATCATCAAACAGGCCTTTATCCCATGAAAATTGTGGAACTAAAAAGGATTATAGAACAAAAACAATCAATTAAATATTAGAACTTGCATGAACAATGGCCTTGATCAGCAAATTTTGATATGCCAATGACTGGTCTGCTGTCTCATCTCTGTCGATCCATTCTCATCTTCCTCGTTCTCTTGAGACATTTCCTCTATTGATTTTCCTTTCGACTCAGGCACCAAGAACATAAACACCATACCCAAGAAATTGACTACGCCAAGAACCATGAGCGCATTCTTCACACCAATACCCGATGGATACCCTTTATCTGTCTTAGTTGGGTCCTGATTCTAAGCTGCATATAAGAACCCGAATGCCCCAACAATTGCCCCAGCTTTCCCAGATGCTGCTGATATGCCATGACACGTAGATCGTAGCCTTGCAGGGAAAATCTTAGCGAGGACAACAAAAGTCGTTGCTTTTGGACCAAAATTGGCGAAAAAGAAGGTTAGCGAGTACATGACAACGAACCCAATTCGGTTCTCCTAATGAGTCCAGTGATTGTAAGGAATAGCTAAGGCATTCATCGTCTTGGCATCGGGAATCCACCCGATTGCACTAAAAATGTCCTTTTGGAAAAGGTTTTGACTGTAGAAGGCGATGTCGGAATATAACACATTTTGAAAGCAACACGATTTGAATTTGGTGAGTTAACAAAACTGACAATTTCAAAACTCCAGTAGAAAGATGAGAGGTCCACCAGCTCCAACAGATCCTCCAAAGATTTGGCTGTATCAAATTCATAAGTAGCCATAGCAGAGCATAGAGCTTCATCTCCTCAAACATTCTAAATTGATTTTTTTTTTCCCCCTTCCAGCCAATTCAAACCTGCCTTCAATAGTTTTGAAGGCACTTTGAAACTTGTAGACTCTTCAATAGCTTGAATAACTGCAGAAGACAACATTGAATTTTGACCGGAAAGATAGCAAGAAAATGTAGATATGCATCATCTATCTGCAGTGATCACTCTACAGTAGTTCTCTTTTCTAGCAACGACTCCAAAAATGATGAATATAATTTGGTCAGAGGAGAAAGGCTATGAGATGATCCACTAAATATGGTCTCCCATGGCTTTTCTGATGCTACAAATGGGGCTAGCAAAGTCTGCTTTCCTGCCTTCAAGTCGAACTCAGGTAACTCCCCGTAAATAGATTCATAACCAAACTGGCTTGTAAAAAGGAAAGGCGAAGAATCACCCATTAAATCTTAGGGAAACAAAAACTATGAGAAAAAAATTCTTGTCACTTGACAGATCCAGTACAACTACAACTGCAATGTTAGTTACGAAACCAAAAGGGAATTTTAACAGAATAATTTCAGTTGTCAATTAATAGATTCAGTGTAACTACAATTGCAAGGTTAATTAAGATGCCAAAAAGGAATTCAAAGAAGAAAAAATTCAACCTCCCTAAAAGAGTGCAACTACTTTTGTCAATTTTTTAGTTCCCTGGATAAATAAAGTAGCCCCAAAAGCAACCATTTCTAACATTGATTACTGACATGCTCAGCAAAATGTAAGTCGTATTTATATTTCCAATCTGATAAATCAGATGAACCAAAGGATCCAAAATTTCCAATGAAACAGCACATAGCATATTCGTGCACACACTCCACAAAAAAAAAAAAAAAAAAAAAACTGTAGTTACACAAAATTTGATTTTCTATAATATAATGTATGAATATGGATATGAAAAAAAAAAGTTGTAGAAGTCTTGACCATTACCAGTCTCCTGAAAACCAGATAGACTCTGTCGATGAGCAATGCCTTGCTCACATGCTTGTTGTTCACCAT